AATATTAGTATAGATTTGTGTTTACCAATTTAAAAAAAATCATTCCAGCTCAACACAGAGATCTTCGTGTGGTAGTGCGCTTGCTTAAAGATGGCGCAAGGGCTTTGAGCGGGGTGCCGTACCAGCACGAGGCGGTGTACCACGCCGCTAGCGTCGACATCGACGGCGAGGCCGGCGCGGGTATCGTGGAGCTGGGCTACGAGCCGAAACGTAAGTCGCTACACAACACAGTATGGTCATTAATTTATAGCTGAAGGTTCACGCTAAAGTTGTAGTGTGGAAGGAGCGTCACTTCTTTAATGTTTAGGCAGTAGATAGGAAAATGATAGGAATAGTTTTCCAAGTCTGTATAACCATGCTCTCCTATCGTCAAGTTTTCTGGGGGGACGGCGCGTACGCAGTCCCCACTACCAAAAATTACGCATCCGAGTTATCCACATTAGGGACAATCGCAGGGGTCAACCGTTCCGCAGTGCAATGGAACAGCCTCGCCCTGGGGGAACCGCCTTCATGATCACGGTGTCCCCTATGCCAGGTAAGTATGCTTTGGGATCGGTTGGCAGGGAAGGTCTTTGCAGGAAAAAAAACTTAAATATCGCGAGTCAAGTGCGCACAGCGCCATCTAGCGATATTATGACGATGCAAGAAGGCGCGCGCCATGCGCGTCGGCCCTCTCACTTCGGATAACGCGTGCTAGATTAAGCATGCTATATTTAGAACCACTTCAACCGGGTAAATTAAATGGTTGTAATAATTTTAACATCATACTGTTGTTAATATGCTTTGTAGACACGTTATAGAAAACTATATGTTACCAAAAGATGAAAACAACGAATAAAATCGTTATTTGTGACACAAAGAGCCGGGATGTGCAGCTGGGCTAAGAGTCGGTACGTAAACTTGATAAAAAAAAAACAACAAAACATGTATACGAACATAAAATATTGCACCCTATCGCGATTTTTACACGAATGTTTAGTGTGTTTATGCTAATAAATATAAGCCACGCCCATATTTGGTTTTAGGTGTTGGACAGAAAACACTAAACAGTGTTCAAGAGATCCGGATTAAGAATCGTTATAAATAATAATTATAGCCTATAATATTATGCATATTTTAGTAATGTATATTAATAATAAAATAATACATTCAGTAAGGAAATAATGCCTGTAGGCCTAAGATGCTCACCGCGATAAGCGGTTATCACTCCATTTTATCGATTTCGTCCATACATTTTAACATCGATAAAAGTTATCACGGCGCGCATCTTAGGCCTACTGGATAATAATGATAGTGATAATAAGATCTAACTATATTTATTTAGTATGCACAGAATTCATTACATATAAGTATTAAAACTTTATTACCTAGCAACTAAAGTACGGCCAACGAGAAGCGATACTAAATAAAATGTAAAGTAAAACCTAAATGTCATGGTCATTTCGAATAGCAGGGGTTTGACTGACATATTTTGGCGGGAGAACGAGACATTACGACAAATATACAAGATTTTTTTCTCCGATCCGGTTATGAAACGATAATAAACAAGGTGGGAATTTATGGGGGGACGGCGCGTACGCAGTCCCCACTACCAAAAATTACGCATCCGAGTTATCCACATTAGGGATAATCGCAGGGGTCAACCGTTCCGCAGTGCAATGGAACAGCCTCGCCCTGGGGGAACCGCCTTCATGATCACGGTGTCCCCTATGCCAGGTAAGTATGCTTTGGGATCGGTTGGCAGGGAAGGTCTTTGCAGGAAAAAAAACTTAAATATCGCGAGTCAAGTGCGCACAGTGCCATCTAGCGATATGACGGCGCAAGATGGCGTACGCTATACGCGTCGGCCCCTCCCACATGCATAAGCAAGCATGTCTTCTTTAGAACCAGTCCAGCTGGCCTGCTGGCATCACGAGGGGTGCATAAATTAAATGATTGATAATGCTTTGTAGATAGTTTTGAAAATAACGTTTTAAATCTAGTGAACCCCTCGTTGATCGTAGCTGAGTTTTATTTTATATTTACTCCAAGTTTAACTTTTCAGAGATACGCGAGCCGTCTGTTCGGCTGACCCCTCCGCGGGTCCTAAAATGGCTGACAGAGGCGGAGGTGGGTCGTGTGGGGCACTGCTTAGCTTTCGAAGACCGCGCGGCCGCCTGCCCGGCTTACGTGGGGGGCAAAGGAGCCTCTCTTGCGTTACTCTCTTCCATGCAGAAGGCAGGGGTGAGTGATAAGAATAAGTTCATTTCTGACATCAAGCTTTTCGTTTTACTATTTTTTTTTAACTTCTGAGTAGAAGTGCAAATATAATTATTTTACTAATTTTGTACACAGTTGTGCTGCTGTAAAGCTATAAATAAAATAATCGTAATGTAATTTTTTTTTCAGGTTAAGTTTTTAGGTCTATAGAATCTATTTATTTACTTTATTTTTATTTTAGGGATATCGTGTTCCACCCGGCTTCTGTTTGACAATCCACGCCCTTGAGTACCATTTGGAAGTTAACCCTCAATTGATAAAGGCCGTTCGAGAAATCGAAGCTGCCAATGAAAACTACAATGAAGCCATTTTCAAAGAAAAATGCAACAGGTAAAGGAAAATTTATATTTAACTAGCTTTCCGCCCGCGGCTTCGCCCGCGTGGAATTTTGTCTGTCACAGAAAAACAATATCGCGCGCGTATTTGCTCACCGTTTACCTACCCTGGACTACGACTAACATTTTAAAACCAAAATCAGCTCAATCGGCCCAGGCGTTTTCGAGTTTTAATCAGACTAACGAACATCAATTCATTTTTATTTATACAAACATATAGATAGATAGATGATACAACATAATACAATTTCAAAAAATAGTTTTATAGAATGTTAATTTCATATTACAGAGCGGTTGAGCTATTTGCTGCCACTGAAATAATCGGTGAGGTTCGTGAGGAAGTACTGGCACATCTCAGTGAGCTGAGGAAGAAGGCGGCCAAAGAAAACCTGGGCCCTGAACGGCGGTTTGCGGTTAGATCTTCTGGTAAGCAATTTTTGTTAAACGGTGTACTGGATTTTTTGGATGTATTGACTGAAGTCCTAAGTAGTTCCAGAAATTACTTTCAATAGTTTCCACTGCAGTAGCATTACCCTCTTATCAGAGGTAAATGGAGTATTTGGTCTATACTCTCACGCTGGCCTTATAAACGCTACATAGCCGGCAAAAGTGGGAGTGACCCTTTTCTAGTCTGATGGAGCAAGGAGCCCTATCTACAGTATGTTCTAACAAAAAAGACGATATACGTGAGATTTTGTCTACAATTTTCTCTTCAATTTGCGTAATGACATTCATAACATTAAAGTTATTTATTTAATTGACAGCTGTGGGAGAAGACAGTGAGACCCTCTCGGCTGCAGGCCAGAACGAAACCATACTGGGATGCGTCAGTGACACAGACGTCCTTAAAGGCGTGCAGAAGTGTTGGGGTTCGATGTTCGCGTTTACTAGTGCATATTACAGAAGGTTAGTGACTTTATTGTTTACAATATTTTTTAGCTATTACTATTACATTTGTGGACGCCGTTTGGTGAAGATTTGCTGTTTAGCACGTGGCATTAAATAGAAGATCATATCGCGGCGCGCATCCTAGGCTCACTGATGTTCGTATTTTTGTCTCTTAGTTGACTTTTATGACATCCATAGAAATAGTGGCGAAAGTATCAGCATATACGCGATGTTATACGTTTCAGTCGCTTTGTCGCATTGTAGGAGTACAGTCAGTGGACTGACCAGGTCAAAACCGCACTCAATGGTCCACTCCACGAGTGCACAAGAAAAGCTGCAGTGCGGGAGGAATGGCGACGGATTGTGAGGCTTGTCACCGGACCGGGTGTGACGACCACGACCACTCTGGCAAGAATGTAGCGACGAAGAAGAAGAAGGAGTACAGTCTGGCGTCAGCGTAAAATAGTTCGTGACACCCACAGTAGCCAAAAAATTCGCAACACATCTTTGTTACCATTGGAATAAGGTTGTGTTGTCAACTTTTTGGCCACTTTGGATGTCACGAACTATTTGATGCTGAATGTACCTACCTACTCGTCGAACTCAATATATCAGTGGTCAGCGAGTCGTAAGCGCGGCGTCCGGATTTGCTGATCTCCTTACGTTAGGTCAAAGTCAAACTCAAACATTTTATTTATCATTAAGTAGGGTACCGGTACAGATGGAATACAGGAAAAAGTTCATAAACCTACTCAGCCAATTACATATTGCATGCAAATTAGGTTGACGTCTATTTGATGGCGAGGCGAAAGGTGATACGTGAGGATCCCTTTCCGAGTTGATGAGTGTGCTACGACCTGTGACAGACGTTATCGTATAAGACATTAAAGCCCATTTGTTCGCAGACAGAACGGGCAGCCTTGCTTATGCGGCGGCGGCGTGGTGGTGCAGGCGCTGGCGCCGGCGCGCGCGGCCGGCGTGCTGTTCACGCGCCACCCCGCCGCCGGCGACCCCGCGCGCCTGCTGCTCACCGCTAACTACGGGCTGGGGGAGGTACGTACAGGAGACAGGGCCAGGCGTGCCGGCGCGGCGGCGGCGTGGTGCCGGCGTGCTGTCCACGCGCCACCCCGCCGCCGGCGACCCGGCCCGCCTGCTGCTCACCGCCAACTACGGGCTGGGGGAGGTATGTAGAATAGACAGATGCCTGTACATGATGCGACCATTTTATCGATTTAACCCGAGAAGTCAATACATTTTGACGTCTAAAATCATCGATGATATTATCACGGCACGCATCCTAGCCCGGCTGATCTTCAGAAGCTGGCCGGAGAATCATAAAGCGGATTTCGAGCGGAGTTTTTCACGTGGTACTTAGATCTATTTTGTTGAAAAACGTAGAACACCGCTAGTTGCGTTGGCCGTCCGTCCTACGTTTTTCCACAAAACAAAACCGCATACGGACGTCAGTTGCAAATGTCCGCTTCACGCAGCAGATCTTAGGCTGGGTTGCACCATCTTATTTTAACTTTGACAAACGTCAAATATGTGTCAAACTTCATACAAAAAACACCGGTTATCGTTATAATGACGTTCAAAGTTAGGTGGTGCAACTCAGCCTTAATCTCGCTATAATGAATGACTGAATGGATCATAAAATGCTTCTAAGTTGAAGAGAGTATATTATGATAATGCAAACGTGATATCTCAATAAATAAGCACCATTACTATTTCCAGAGCGTAGTCTCCGGATCAGTAGACCCCGACACCATAGTCGTAACCCGGGACCTAGACGACCAGCTGTCGATCATGAGCATCGACCTAGGCTCCAAGACGCAGCGAGTGACGGCGGCAGATGACGGCGTGACCACGGAGGCGGTGCCCGAGGCAGACAGGGCGGTGGCTTGCCTGAGCGAGGAAGAGGCGCTGCGGCTGGCCAGTATAGGCGTGCAACAAGAAGACTGGTGGGGCGCTGGGAGAGATATCGAGTGGGCCATTAGCGAGGTTAGTGAAAAACACCCTGTATAAACGATTGTATGAACATAACGAAAAAGGCGAACACATACTCACTGATGTAATATAGATTCAGAACACAGTCTGAATACAAGACGTCAGCGCGACAAGCGTATAGACACGGTAATATGCATTTCTACCTCTATAGGTAGAAATCTTTCTAGAGTTAAGCGCCTCAACTCTTGCTGTGCGATCTATACTTGCTATAAAGTTAAACCTTGTAAAAAATTAAATTGTATCAGTAAAACTTGTAGATTGGAATACTGGTCGAGTGGTAAAGCTGACAGCACACCTTATTGTCTGGATGGATTAATGATAATTTTCATTTTGTTTTATATTCCACCGTGTTTTAGAATGACATATTCCTGGTGCAAGCGCGGCCCATCACCTCCTTAGAGCGATGGACAGAGGAGGAACTTCTTCACGAACTTGATTCTCCTATCATGGCTGACGATGAGTTCACCACATTTGCTAACTGCGGCGAGGTTAGTATAGCTTTTGCCAATCGAACAATCTTATTACTTCTAGGTTTACCAGCATCAGGGCAATAGGATCGGTCGCAGAACTTTGATAGTTCATATTACAAATTGATTTTAAATTATCATTGTTGCTTTTTTTCCTACCTCAGTTAAGCACAAAGAACCCTTGAAACATTTATTTTGTGAAGGCTTTTAAAAATATTCTTCGTAGATAATGCTTTCTCGCGATAGCTATTTTTCAGTAACATTTGTAATATCTCCACAGCAGTGGTTAAAATTTTCTCGCAGCATTTCCTGTAATCAACTTGTCAACCCTTTCTTCAACGCACTTTGTTCTCAATTTCTTATTTAATTTATCATGTAATGTGTTCGCAGGTATTCCCGAAGCCAGTGACGCCTCTATCTCACGACTTGGTGGTGCAGCCTCTGATCAAAGGCATGAGCAAGACGGTCAGCAACGACATCGGAGACTACGAGGACTCGGTCGCGTTCACGCACAATAGGTGCATGATCGCTCTGTACAATGTGAGTAGAAAGGAATTAAAAATAAATAAAGCAGTACATATTCTTTTTACCGGATAATTTATATGCGGGTGCGGGGTTCTAGAAATAAAATCTTGCTACTCTACCTCCACCTACCGCCACTGGAGTTGCAGTAATTTTCGTCACTTATTCCCATGAACAAATCTCTCACCACGTTAGTAATGGTAATATAGATGACCCACGCTGAACTGTCCCACCAAACTCAATGACAGGGGGGCGCTACCATCGTTCAACTATATTATGGTTTCCAACATGGCAAAAATCGGAACCAGCGATCCGGTATTGACGGTGGCGCCACGCTGTCAATGTCAGGGATAAGACAGTTCAGTATTTTGGAACTATAGTGTCTTTGCCGCACCAATTATGCTGAAGAGACTGGTCATTTAATGCATGCAGCACATAAGTCGCACCTTTACCAGATCGTCGGTCTTCTGAGTGCGAGATCTGGCTCATGGTCGCCACTCGAGAAATTTTTCTGCCCCAACGGCCTACAAGCTATGTTGAGTTATGTCCCATTACTTCTACGAGCTGTGTGCCCCGCCCACTGCCACGTAAGCCCCGCCCAGTGCCACGTAAGCCCCGCCCACTGCCACTTAAGTTTGGTAATCCTACGGGCTACATGGCTACTTTGGTTCTCTTATGAAATTCGGTGTATTTCTCTTTGATCCTCAGTCAGTATACCGTCGCGCGCCGCCCGAAGTGGACGTCAACATTCGCATGGTAGAGATGGCTCTCCACGGTCACAAAGTAGCAGATGACGCCGTCATCCAGACGGCCGTGCGCCGCCGCCCGCCCAAGTGGAGTGATAAAATTGATATGCTGTGGTTCCTCATTGTGGTGAGTAGACTTGCAGGAAATTCGATTTGAAAAAACATTGCTAGACGAGGCTCACTGACGAGTTGCGTACAACGTGCGCTATAAATTAAGGCTGATTTACACTTTGATTAGTGTGAGTGCAGGTGAGTACTGCGAGTGCAGGTGTGAAGTGCGAGTAGTGTCCAATTCAATGCGAGTGCAAGTGATAAGTGGGAGTGCAGGTGTGTAGTGCAAGTAGTGTCCAATTCAGTGCGAGTCTGTCCAGACGTGTTTAGTGGCAAAAAATAGAACACGCTTCTATTCACTTTAATACACAGCCAACTAATCACTTGCACTAATCAGTTGCTGTCCACACCTAGTCACTAATCACCTGCACTACTCACCTGCACTCACACTAATCAAAGTGTAAATTAGCCTTTACGCATAACGGTTTTTTCCTTATTGAATTAGTATTCATGTAAGATCTCAAAAGAAACCTGTGTGTGTCACTCGAAAACATTGTAATAGTCATAGTCCAGTCAATGAATGCCTTAAGAGCGTTTACGCCGTTTGGCGCAAAAACAGTACTTTTTCAACTCGTTACAATCATTAACCAGTAATACTACAAATATGTTTTAGGCATAAATAGTTTGGCAATTTCGTCGTCTAAATAGTTAATTGAGAAAATATTGCGATTAGTTTAGCATTTAAGAATTCTATCAAGATAAGTCCACACAGGTTTTGTAAATTTCCACTTTAGCGTCAGTTTACAAGCTGAATTTTTTATAAAAATACTGTGAAAACGATTTAACAAACATTTACATTCTATAGCATAGATCCTTGGGCAAATAGTTATCTGAGAAAATTTTTAGATTTAAGCATTTTACAATAAGAAATCACAAATTAAAAGAACGTGAAATACCCAAAAATCAAAGTGATTTTTTCACCAATATTCTTTCTTTATTCAACACAAAAATAGCTTAATATAATAGAAGAATATCTTATCTAAAATATTTACTTTCAAATTTATAATAATTCATTGTAATTTTTTTTCTATGAGTATTTGAAAACTACTATAAATCGCCGCGCACGAATCGTTCAAATTCAGTCCGCCTCGAGGCGTTCCAGAGTGAGGTCACGTCGCTCGGTGCTCTGCTGACATGTGTCACGCGTACGTTGATCTTTGACAGGTAGCTGGACTTTTATAGTGTATCCGCAAAATCTTGGTGGTAGATTTTGCGATCACGTGGTAATTAAAATATTTTATTGTTATTTTTCATTACAGTCTATTTTTACTACAAATTCTATTTCAGACGTAATGAAAAATAAAATTAAGTTATTTTTAGCGATGAAACGAAAACGAATGACGAAAATTTGGAACAGCAAGTTATGTATGTATACCTACTAATATTATAAAGAGGAATAATACTAATAATTTATTTGCCATAAATAGGTGGTTACAGAATAGTTTAGTTTTTGCGGCATCTGCTCTAGAAGGTCTGTAAAGTTGGAAATTTTATTTTTGTCTTATATGTTCCTATCAGGAGAAAATCGACTAAATCAACATTGAGCAAACACTATAGACATGCGGGAGCATGTTAAGCCTAGTTCCAGGGAGGGGACTGAACCGTGCGTATATTTAGACGAACCAATTGGCGCCACTTTTGACTCCTCATCATTTAAAAACTACTGTGCGTTAACACTTCAAATTTGGCTCATGTAATGAGACTTGCAAGATATACATAAGCTTCAAATTTCATAAATATATCTCAAACGGTTATTTAGGTATTGACGTTCAAAAATCGACATTTAGAACACTAAAATCTATCTATCACATATGAAATGTTAAAATTTACTGGTTTTTTATTTGTTCCTTTGTATTTACATAACTACCTTTCTGGATGCCAAATTTGAACCTTCGTGGTCATCTGGAAGTGGTTAGAATTTGGTCTATAGGTCAGACATGTAGATTTTTGGACGTCAATACCTAAAGAACCGTTTGAGGCATATTTATGAAATTTGAAGCTGATGTATATCTTGCAAGGCTCAACACATGAGCCAAATTTGAAGTATTAATGCACAGTAGTTTTTGAGTGATGAGGAGTCAATTGTGACTCAAAGTGGTTCGTCTAAATATACGCACGGTGCAGTCCCCTCCCTGGAACTAGGCTTAACATGCTCCCGCATGTCTTGAATGATTGCTCAATGTTGATTTAGTCGATTTTCTCTAGATGGGAACATGTAAGACAAAAATAAAATTTCCAATATTACAGACCTTCTAGAGCAGATGCCGCGAAAACTATACAATTTATAGAAAAACTTGACTATCTCACCTGTAGCAAATTGAATAAGCTTTTTTTCATTCATAGTAGTCATGTCACTAGGACGCATAGTTTTCGAGGATTAAGCGAAAAACCGAAAAGTGGCACCTTTAAACCCCCCTCTCCCCGCCGGCTCAAGGGCTAAGGGCGGGGACTTTTGCTATGTTCACCTCCTAACTAGTCTAAATAAAGTCCTGAAGTCAGAAATTGTGTTCTACAGTTTTCCATCTATAATGCTTTATTGACTGGACTATCAGTCATTTATTCCATATACAATAACAATGACATAGGTACCTATGAGAGTGTGTAATAACTGTAATTTGTTGTCTATTACAGAGAATCATCTGGTCCAAATGGCACATGACCGACACGATGAAGAGGGTGAAGTCTTTAGACATCGACATGACGTCAGAGGACCCGGCGGTGATCCTGCAGTCCATGGCGGACACCCGCAGCGCCATGTGGCAGGTGGCCTACAACCACAGC